TCCCATCCATTACAGTAACCTACTGTACAGCAGAGCGACATCCACGACTTACCCGCTTTTTTATTATTATTATTATCATTATTTTATTATAACTAACACTTACCAGAAAACTTGATTCTGAAGTAAAATCTCTGTTATTCATATAAAGATTTGTAAACTTAAAAGCATATAATACTAATAATATTTCATTATTGTAAAACCATGTAGTTACTGTAACCTTCATTCTTCCTTGGCTCTGCCCAAAATGTAAAAATATTTCTCAGAACTAACCACATCACATCTACAGAAAATCTTTTTACTTGAGTCTTAAGGTCTAACTGCTATAGAATTAAAGTCATTAAAATGTTTCCCTAATAACTGCTTGAAAATTAGTATTCATTACATGTTTATTCTTTTACACTGACCAAGATTAATGTATTTTTTATATTTTATAGTATTTTTTTTTTTTAGCCACAGGTTAGTCCACTTTGGTAATTGTGTTGAAAAATATATAAATTTAGTCACATATTTTACTAATACATTATATAAATGTAGTATAATACTATATTTCTTATTTTAACTACTTATGTACAATGTACATTGTACATAGGAAGATTCACCTAGTAAGGGCACTCTCGTTTTTCATTTTAATAATGAATTTATTCTAATAAATTAGCAATTAAAAAATATTAATAAATGGTTTGTGTTTTTTAGATTATATTGTATGATCTAACCTTAAAGGTGACTGAGCTGGTTTTTCCAATTTTCCGTTCATTTATAAAATTTGATAATTATATTTTAGTTGCTTCTTTAATTATAATACTTTCCCATATATCTACTGCCCAATCTTTTTTCTATGGGGAGATTGATTTGGAGTTTTATATCAACAAAAGTGATTCTTAAGCCTCATTAGTATGTGTCGAATTTTGATAATTTTTTTTTAATCTAAAAAATCAGAACTTTTTCTGATCGGATCAAAGCACGTATTTTCATTTTACTTTAAATAGTAATAGAAAAATAACAAATAATGTACAATATTCAAATCCATATTGTCCATATTTTAGYTTCTATAATAATAATTTTGAAAATTTGGCTTTGAACTAACCTGCAAAATCTTTTCTTTTTTAAAAAATAATTGACCAAATCCTACTGTTAATCAGGGCTTAAAGTTTTTCAGGTAAGACATGTTTTGTATTAAAAATAACGCCCTTAACCTTAAAGGTTCTAACAGTAACATTTTTAAAGAGTATTCAATAAGTATAGGAAATTTGACTAAMATATGAATATTAATTATATTATCAGTGTTTCAATATATTTTTTCAATAAATTATTCAATATTAGTTGAGAAACTCCAAAATAAAGGTAAAAGTTGTTTTTTAAAAAGAATCTGCATTTAATTGATTTAGTCACATTTAAAATTCAAAATTATATTTACAAAAGTTATTTATAATCCATTGTTTTTGAAAAATGATCTATCATCTATGTGGAGCTCAAATTAGCTACCTATTAATCTCCATTTGTTTATGATTATTTATAAATTGCAACAGAATTATAACCTAGCTTGCTTGCATAATCTTTTCCATACGACATCTTGTGATTATTCAAAAACTACTTAGAAATTCAAATTATGTCAATTTCCTGTCAAATATTCAATGTGTAAGGAGTAAGAAAAGTATAAGTATCTACAAAAATCACATGAAATATAATAATTAATGTAGACATATATAATATAGGTATTAGTATAGTATGTATCTACACATAATGCAGTAGTACACATAGGC